AGTATTTGTAACCTAACTGTGCACATAGCTAGCCTATGAAGCCACTGAGCTTTCCCCTTCCTCCCCCATTGCTTGTTAAACCAACATGTTGCATCTTGTCTTAGCTCATTTTGTAAGCTCTTCAGGGAAGCTTATAATGTGTTTGAAGCCACTATTGTAATACAGATAAATAATAATTTTTAAAATATGTGTGTCCACAAGGTGGTGCTAAATCTTTTAGCTCCATGAAAGACATTCATTCAAAATAAACCATCCAACTAAAGATGATTTTCTTTTCACTGAGCATGAGTTTTTCTTGAAAAAAATCAACTGACCAAGGGACAATACCACTATTAATTCAGCCATTTCTCTCTCAAACATATTTAGAAATAACTCAAACAACTATAATGTTAAATCTAGTATAGTTTTTCTTGATGTCAAATAGCTAGAAAAAAATAATTTCTAAAGACTTTGAACACGTTGGCCAAACATATTCTTGTTCCCTGGTCTCTTCTTGGTCCCAGCGTTAAACTACATAATCTGTCTCTGCGCAGGGCCTGATTCTAATCTCACAAAAGTGAGAAACAAGATATGCTCCATTTAAGTCAATTGGTTTTACTGGTCTAAAGTCAGTATGTGAGATCAGAATCAGGCCTATCTTGTTCATAAGGGGCCTGTCACCCTGACATACTTCAGCTGGATCCAGCTAAACTACTGGTGGTAGCTATGTCATTTTTAAAAAAGAAGCTATATTCAGTTAAAGTGGTGAATGTTGGATCATGCTATGGTGAATATTACAATAAACAACAATAGAATGTCGCTAGTACTATGAATTAGACATATAAAGTGGTTCCATACCCACTGCTTCATCAACAAGTATATTGCTTTATTAGCAAGTAGTGATTTTGCAGGGATCAAATATTCAATCTCCCCAGAAATGCATGTTAGTGGATGATCATTTTAACAGTAGTGGGAAAACCAATCAGAGCCCAGACTAGACAATTCCCATCTTTGACGGGGCTGGAATATTTGAACAAGGCAGTAACTCCATATATCTCACCCTTGAAGATCCAATTAGATTACTTTGTGCAATGGGTACCAAAACAGTCGATGTTACTATTAAGGTTTAGTTGTTTGTACAACTGTCTAATAGTTCGGTGTAATGCTTTAACAGGTAAGCAGCTTTCTTTTGATTTAGGTTTGATACTTCTTAAAACAGCTCAAAGCACATGCATTTATTTTCCATTTTATATACTAATTGCAGTGTTATAAAAACAGGAAACATCTCTCAACATTTTAGTCATTCAGAACACATTCGAATAAAAAATGGGCTCTAACCATTAAACCAATCTGAGAACCCACCAAACTTTGGGCAAGTTCAGATTCAGATCCAAAATCCATTATTTGAGCCCCTCTCTGTAGTGAATACACTATGGAAAAGTTTAATCTTGCACCCTGACTTTGCGTGACCGTGCCATTAAAGTGGGAAGTAGTGCTGTAACACAGTGTCATCTCCAGCTGTTCCTTTTGGAGTCTATGATCAGAATCAGACACAGGGATTTGGGCAACACTAGCCTTGCCTGCCTGTTTGTTGCCTCTTCCCCACATTAAAAGCTGAACAAGCTGACTTGTAATGGGGGTCAGGGCTCTTGTTCACTCATTGTATTAGCAGGTATTAAAATGCTACGTAAGGCTGGTGAAGGTCTACTGACTGTGTGGTGTGGCCTTCAGTCTTGGGGATCATAGTCAGCTGACACGTTAAACCAGCTGCACTGGGCTTGGGATAGAGAATCGGAGAGCCATAACTGGTTGTTGGTTCTCATCATTTCTTCTTTTCTGCTCTGTTGAGTGGCTGATGGGGGTGAGGGGTAAAGGAGCAATCTACGTGATTTTGTGACTGGATGTCACAGTTTTATAGGGACAGTCCTGATATTCAGGACATTTTCTTATTTAGACACCTATTACCCCCCACCCCCGTTCTGATTTTTCATACTTGCTATCTGGTCACCCTAGTCTGCAGGAAAGCAGTGGGATGCAGTTGGAGACGCAATGCCCCTATCATAAGCTTATACTGATGGGGCTGATTCAAACACTGGCATTTAAAAATTGCAGGACACAGCGCAGGGTCCATTTCCCGAGCACATTTCCAATTTATAATCAAATACAATATTCATTACAGTTAGCTATCCAGTGCCACAGTTGGGACTGTCCTAGCGCAAATGACTGCAGATATTGGCCAAATGCATCTAATGGAAATGTTTGTTGTTCTCTCTCACCCAAAGAAGTTACTCCAATAAAAGATATTACCTCACCCACCTGGTCTCTCTTACAGAGAAGTGCTATAGAATTTAATAGAAAATTATACCCTATAATTTTAACTGTTCTACAGAGTTTAATAGGGATTGATATTCCTATTATAAAATTCTATACGATTCATAAACCTATAGAAAGGACATCACTACTATTATATTTTATTATTTTTAGAATAATCTCTAGCAACCCCGATTACATTCCTATAGAATTATGTAACCCTATAGAGTATTCCGTATGGAATATATAATTAATAATTACACTTACATCCAGGCAACTCTATTGAAGTGTATTCCTACTGGTAAGGAAAACATTCCATAATCAATATCTTTATTTCATGATCAATTTGTTCACACTTACCAAATCATTGTGCACTAAACCCATACCCAGCCAAGTTAGAAGGGTGGTGTATGTTTTTTGTTGTTGTTTTTAGTTAACTGAGCACAAAGAAAGAATGACTGAATCAATGTTGCAAAGCTGACAATCTTATTTAAGCTTGAAAAAAAAATCAAAAATGGCTCAAGTAAATTGTACCAAAATTTCCCACGAATAAAAATGTTGGCCTGAGACTAAACACAAAATAATGTATCCAATTTCCCACCTCCCAATTTCTGAAAAGGTATCACCTCCGGGGGTTTTTCTTCTGGTCATGGACCCATAATATCTGTACCTCTGAAGCTGCCAAATAAATGCTTCAAGTAAACATGTCCCTATTTGCAAGCAGCGTGTACAGTAAGGATAAATTTAGCTACAGATGCACAAAGAGCACCAGCAAAACTGCTCATTTATCTATAAACACATCAAATTTGGTTATACAAACTCCTGTTTTTGCAACTTTAAAGTCTCAAAATCCTCAGGGTCAAATTGTAAATTTGGAATCAAAGCACAATGCTATTGGTAAATTAAAGGTCACCGGAAGTTATTTTTTCAGTTCTCTGGCACTTTCCAAAAAATAATAATTAAAATCTATTTGAGTTGACCTGAAACTGAAAGTGCTAAAAAAAAATTATGAAAATGACCTATTTTGGAGGTTTGGAGGTTGTGGTTTGGAGCATTTTTAAACTAAAAGCAAAGGAAATAAAGGGCTAGATTAACAAACTAACAGGGGGGAGGATGGTGGCCGCTTCCTTATGTCCTTTAGTTCAATAGTAGGGATGCCCTCAGAAAGTGAGACACCCACGTCCAAGTTCCTGCTCCAATGACTAATTATTTATACAAGTGGAACAGTGCAAAAGAAGAGCGTGCACGAGCCCCACACCAAATGTCCCATATCTCAGTTCCTGGGGTGCTCTCCTGCAATGGGGGAGACAAATTCAAATCCCTGCTCCAAGTCAGGCAGCAAGGAGAATTGAACCAAGAAATACCACAGCCCAGGTGAATGTCCTAACCACAGAGCTAAAGATTAAGTGAGACGCCACTGCCTGCTGTCTCGTGCAAAAAATACAGAGATGCCGGAAACAGCCAATGGCATAATGCATAGAGAGCACTGCTAAAAACCTCTCCTGGCCACTGGGAAGCAGTGGTGGAGGGATTGGGTAGTAGTGGGGAGAGCTGAGAGAAGAAGAAACTGGAAGAAGCTAGAAGAAGCAGGGACAGTCGGTGAGGGGAGGGAGATGTAGAGAAGCAGAGGAGGAAATAGAGGATGGGGGGAAAGAGAGAGAGAGAAACACAAAAAGAATGGAGAAAGAAAGGAGCTAAGTCAGGACCTTCAAATAGTTGGGAGGCCAGCCACCTGTTAAGCAGGGAGCACAGAGGTTGATCAGATCCCATGATTTGTAGGTTAGGAAGGATATTTTAGGTTAGTTAAGGAGCCAGACTTCAAAGTTGCTCTGCTTCATGGTTACAATTAGAGTTCAACATATATCCTTATTCCCCTGTTATAATCATTCAAAAATACACTGAACGGATAAACACACGCTATCGCACATTCACCCTTCACAAATCTCATTTAACCAAGGGCCTGATGTGAATAGAAATAACTATAATGCTGCTTAAATACTAGTTATGAAAATCACCCACAAGTCCAAATTCTATAACATGAGCGTGACAGGATTGTTTAGAATAGGGTGGTTTAACATTTTGAACCAGTTACCCAAACTAATGACAGGATGAGAAGAAAGAAAATCACTCACAAAGGGGAAGATGCCAGCATACTGGTGTGTAATAGCTCATTTACCCCAAGTACACTCTGATAATTTCACAATTCTGTCTTATTACATTTTGTTAAAATGTATTTAATAAAATATTAGCGGGTGGTTCAATGTGTGCCTAGAAGTATTACTTTTGCAGCACTTGAAAATAAATATGCCTTTTAGCAAGAGAAATCACATTAGTCCTTAATTTGCACCCTGAACACCAAGATTTGGAGACATTAAATTGTTAACTTACAGGCTATTGATTGACTTGATTTTAATTGTGGCACAAGCCACTAACACAAAACACTAGGTGGTGGGAGCAAGGTTAATTTCACCATACTAAGCAGTTTATTTAAATAGTTCAAATAATAGTTACAATTAACTAGTTTATTTGACTCACATTTTTCAACAGAGCTGTGCTATCCAATGGAGCCCTACACTGACACTACCTTTAAACTTTGCACAAAGCTCCCATTGGCATGACTGGGAGTTCTAGATGTGGACCCAGTGAAAGTGAGCAAAAGATGTCTTTACATTTTTGTAAGAATGACCTTGCAAGAATAGTAGGCATTTTACCTGTGGTAGTCTGCAGAGTTCCAGAAATTGTCAGGAACATCCAAATGAAGATCATTGTGGCACCCATCCTGTGAGGGCTCCTGAGGAATGGAGCAGCAGAATTTATAGGCTCTGACTATGGAGGGGTGTGGCTCAGCAGTCTGCTCTACATCTACAGTAAATCAATACAAAGTGAATTCCAAAGGTGATTTAATTTCAGTCACAAAGGAAGGTGTGTTTAATTTGTTCCCCATTTCATTTTATTTTTATAACCTCATGGTCTCTGACGGAAGACAATATTTAAACAATAGCATTTCACGCTTCTTGAAGGAGAACTTTTGGCATAAATTATCCCACTTAAGTTTGAATCATGTATGAATCAAAAGTTGCCTTTGGTGTCTCTAGAGTAGATCCAGGTGCTTTATTCTTCCCAGCTACTGCTGTTGGCATGAAAGGGGGAGAATCTTTGAGACCGTAGGAAGTGGTGGGGTAGCCTTTCCCCAGGAAGGAATTTTTCATGGTGTTTGAAGGGTCAATCAGTTGTCTGCAGTACATAATTCAGGAACATAAAAATAAAATAAAAATCACAAAAATATTTGGCAGTAGTTTATTTAATATTTTATTAGTGTCTTATTGACTTGACATTTTGGGGTTCGCCCAGGCCAGTAACAGATTCGGTCACTGTTTGCCTTGTAATCATGGGTGTCTTCTGGCTGTGCAACTTTGATCCAGAGCTCTGACCCCAGCAACCTGCTCACAGCCCACTAGCCTCACACTGGCTTTGCCCAACTTGGCTAATCTTCGAAGGCTGAACTTAGTATCTTTGAGCCCCAAATTCACCCCCAAATCACCCTACTGCAGGATCAGTCCCTCTCTCCGGACCGTCACAGAGAAACTATTAAGTTTGCAGCCCCTACAGAGACAGTAAAACACTCATTAGTAAAAAGGCTCGTTTATCAACCTGAGATAGAATTTTGGGTTTGACCTTTTGATACTCTTATATCTTATACTAATGTGTATGAACAAAGACAGTGTGTGTGTTGCTTCTGCCTAGCCAGATGGGTTTGTTAGTAAAATGGGAACAGATCAGAACCAGTTAAAATTTTACAGGGTAGGGTGGGAGTGTGATCTATGAGCATATAGTGGAAGGCTGCCTGGCTCTTCTCTTAAGGCAAGGTCAAGCAACCAGTCGGGAGGAGCAAAGGAGGATTGGGGGGAAGGTATAAAACACTGAAAGACCAAAGAAATGCTTGTCCCTGACCGTAGCACAACCTCACTCCTTACCACTCCCGTGGGGTCAGGCCTGCCGACAGCAATTCCGGGCCCCAGGGCAAAACAGTCAAGGAGCACCTGCTGGTGCCCAGTGAGCTGCTGGCTGCACTGCTGGGTGCGCTCTTCTGGCACAGCCAGGGCTTCCACATGCCCTTCCGGCTGCCTTCGCCGATGACGATGCCACCCCGCGCACACCTAGAGCATATGTGCCGACTTCCAGATTTCCTGGAGAGTGCTCGACTCCCCGCTCATCCAGACCCCTTCCCCCAAATGCCCAGCCCCACCCCACTTCTTCCCACCCCTGTTCCACCCCCTCCCTGAGGGCGCCCCATGTACAACTGGTGCCTCCCCATAGCGGGGGGAGGGCAAGATCTAAAGGGCAGGCCACGTGGCCCCACCCCAGGGCCACTGCACTCTCCCCGCCCCATGTTACCTGCCGGGGGGGCTCTTTGTCCTCCCGCTGTGCCTGCCCCCCCTCCCCCAGCACCTTTTGCCGCTCTCCCTGGCAGGCAGGAGCCCAGGTGGGAGGCAGGAGAGAGCCGCTTTTAATGTTGGCCCCTCCAGGCTGCTGTTCTGCAGCCCTGCCCGGCAGCTGCCTGAGAGAGCCTGGCTGGGAAGGAGGCAGCTTCCGCTCCCTGCCCGGCTTGGTTGCCAGGGAGCCGGCACCCGAGCCGGGAGCAGAAGTCACCTCCCCTGCCAGGCTCTCTCAGGCAGCCACCGAACAGGGCTGCAGAACAGCGTCTCAGTGGATGGAAGGGGCTGGTCCAGCCCCTTACACTCTCAGCATAGCCATGCATCACCCAGGCCCGCCCCCACCCCACCGCTTCCCACCCCTTGTTCCTCTCCCTCACCCCAGTGCCTCCAGCACCCTGCTAAACAGCCGACGGCAGCGGGCGGGATGCACTGGCGGGGACAGTGATGAGCTAATTGGTGGGGTCCACCGCTGGTGAGAGGTGCTGTGGCAGGAAGAAGGAGTCCGCCGGCCGTTAGCACCCACGCAGCGCCTATGCCTAGGAGCCCTGCGGCCGGCCTGGGCGATTTAAAAGGGCCCGGAGCTCCTGGCCACTGCTTTCACAGAAGCACCAGCGGCCAATTGCCAGGCCCCTGGGCAATTGCTCCCTTTGCCGCCCCCAGCCCCAGCAGCGGGCTTGCATGGGGTACAAAAGAGGTGGGATGAAGACCCCAGACCGAAAATGGAACATGACCATAAGATTCATAAGTTTCAGAGTAACAGCCGTGTTAGTCTGTATTCGCAAAAAGAAAAGGAGTATTTGTGGCACCTTAGAGACTAACCAATTTATTTGAGCATAAGCTTTCGTGAGCTACAACTCACGTCATCGGATGCATACTGTGGAAATTGTAGAAGATCTTTTTATATACACACAAAGCATGAAAAAATACCTCCTCCAACCCCACTCTCCTGCTGGTAATAGCTTATCTAAAGTGATCACTCTCCTTACAATGTGTATGATAATCAAGTTGGGCCATTTCCAGCACAAATCCAGGGTTTAACATGAACGTCTAAGGGGGGGAGGGTAGGAAAAAACAAAGGGAAATACGTTACCTTGCATAATGACTTAGCCACTCCCAGTCTCTATTCAAGCCTAAGTTAATTGTATCCAATTTGCAAATGAATTCCAATTCAGCAGTTTCTCGCTGGAGTCTGGATTTGAAGTTTTTTTGTTGTAAGACAGCGACCTTCATGTCTGTGATTGCGTGACCAGAGAGATTGAAGTGTTCTCCGACTGGTTTATGAATGTTATAATTCTTGACATCTGATTTGTGTCCATTTATTCTTTTACGTAAAGACTGTCCAGTTTGACCAATGTACATGGCAGAGGGGCATTGCTGGCACATGATGGCATATATCACATTGGTGGATGTGCAGGTGAACGAGCCTCTGATAGTGTGGCTGATGTTATTAGGCCCTGTGATGGTGTCCCCTGAATAGATATGTGGGCACAGTTGGCAACGGGCTTTGTTGCAAGGATAGGTTCCTGGGTTAGTGGTTCTGTTGTGTGGTATGTGGTTGCTGGTGAGTATTTGCTTCAGGTTGGGGGGCTGTCTGTAGGCAAGGACTGGCCTGTCTCCCAAGATTTGTGAGAGTGTTGGGTCATCCTTCAGGATAGGTTGTAGATCCCTAATAATGCGTTGGGGGGTTTTAGTTGGGGGCTGAAGGTGACGGCTAGTGGCGTTCTGTTATTTTCTTTGTTAGGCCTGTCCTGTAGTAGGGAACTCTTCTGGGAACTCTTCTGGCTCTATCAATCTGTTTCTTCACTTCCGCAGGTGGGTATTGTAGTTGTAAGAATGCTTGAGAGAGATCTTGTAGGTGTTTGTGTCTGTCTGAGGGGTTGGAGCAAATGCGGTTGTATTGCAGAGCTTGGCTGTAGACAATGGATCGTGTGGTGTGGTCAGGGTGAAAGCTGGAGGCATGTAGGTAGGAATAGCGGTCAGTAGGTTTCCGGTATAGAGTGGTGTTTATGTGACCATCGTTTATTAGCACTGTAGTGTCCAGGAAGTGGATCTCTTGTGTGGACTGGACCAGGCTGAGGTTGATGTTGGGATGGAAATTGTTGAAATCATGGTGGAATTCCTCAAGGGCTTCTTTTCCATGGGTCCAGATGATGAAGATGTCATCAATATAGCGCAAGTAGAGTAGGAGCGTTAGGGGACGAGAGCTGAGGAACCGTTGTTCTAAGTCAGCCATAAAAATGTTGGCATACTGTGGGGCCATGCGGGTACCCATAGCAGTGCCGCTGATCTGAAGGTATACATTGTCCCCAAATGTAAAATAGTTATGGGTAAGGACAAAGTCACAAAGTTCAGTCACCAGGTTAGCCGTGACATTATTGGGGATAGTGTTCTTGATGGCTTGTAGTCCATCTTTGTGTGGAATGTTGGTATAGAGAGCTTCTACATCCATAGTGGCCAGGATGGTGTTATCAGGAAGATCACCGATGGATTGTAGTTTCCTCAGGAAGTCAGGTGTGTCTCGAAGGTAGCTGGGAGTGCTGGTAGCGTAGGGCCTGAGGAGGGAGTGTACATAGCCAGACAATCCTGCTGTCAGGGTGCCAATGCCTGAGATGATGGGGTGCCCAGGATTTCCAGGTTTATGGATCTTGGGTAGTAGATAGAATATCGCAGGTCGGGGTTCCAGGGGTGTGTCTGTGCGGATTTGATCTTGTGCTTTTTCAGGGAGTTTCTTGAGCAAATGCTGTAGTTTCTTTTGGTAACTCTCAGTGGGATCAGAGGGTAATGGCTTGTAGAAAGTGGTGTTGGAGAGCTGCCGAGCAGCCTCTTGTTCATATTCCGACCTATTCATGATGACAACAGCACCTCCTTTGTCAGCCTTTTTGATTATGATGTCAGAGTTGTTTCTGAGGCTGTGGATGGCATTGTGTTCCACACGGCTGAGGTTATGGGGCAAGTGATGCTGCTTTTCCACAATTTCAGCCCGTGCACGTCTGCAGAAGCACTCTATGTAGAAGTCCAGTCTGCTGTTTCGACCTTCAGGAGGAGTCCACCTAGAATCCTTCTTTTTGTAGTGTTGGTAGGGAGTTCTCTGTGGATTAGTATGTTGTTCAGAGGTATGTTGGATCTCTCTGGTCACTCGATCTCAGACCTAAAGGTCGCAATATTAAAACAAAAAAACTTCAAATCCAGACTCCAGCGAGAAACTGTTGAATTGGAATTCATTTGCAAATTGGATACAATTAACTTAGGCTTGAATAGAGACTGGGAGTGGCTAAGTCATTATGCAAGGTAACCTATTTCCCCTTGTTTTTTCCTACCTCCCCCTCAGAC